GGAAAGGCTGAGTGGGCTGGTGCTAATTATGACGCGGGAACAGGATCGCAATCATCGAGCTGGCAGCACCAGGCATTTGCTGGCTCAAGACACAGGGCAGCACTCCTCTGCTCTGGTGGCTCCCCAGTGTCACGTTCAGTGGGAAAGGTTGTTAAAGTTACTATGAAAGGGTAATCTATTACAAATTACTCATTAATGCAACTGAAAAATCAGTGACATATTACTGATGATGCCTGTGTCCCGCTAGCTTGGCGGAAAAGACGTGGTTCATGCTGCCAATTCGTTTTGTGCTTTTTATAGCAACCTTCTCAACACAACTTACACACGCAGAGCTTCTTTTCTCCTCCTCACCTGGATGAGTACACGGGCCTTGCCTTTTCGGAGCTGCTGTGCCTGGCCACACACGTGCCACCTCCCGAGCAGTCCGACTGCTTTAACGCCTTGCAACTAAATACCCAGTTGCAAATTCAGGACCCTTCTGCATCCATATCTGGCAGGTACTGGGACATGCTAAGCCTCCAGAGGCTGTGCCCAGCAGCCACCTGTGCTGGTAATGTTTGGTGGTTTTCGGAAAGCAACCTCCGCAGCTGAGTCACCGGGCTTTCCCACCTTCGCCGGCAGCGGCTGGGGACACAGCCAGCTCCGCGCAGGTAAGGTCTGCTCTGTCCTGCAGTCATCTGAGCCCGCTTCCAAAATTTCGCCACCGCAGCGCATGTTGCTGGAAGGTCTCTTTGCCTGGCTACAGCCCCTTGGCTCTCCTCCAGAAACAGAAAAAGCTCTAATCATCTTCCTACTAGTTTGGCACCATCAGAGCGTTATTGCTGCTTCTGCATGAGGAGTTTCGCCCGTGGTGGATATTCCCGCTTTAAGCGCTCTCATTAAGGAGCCAGGACTTTGTGCGAGATCCTCACACGTGGCTCCAGAGCCCACGTCTAACACCAGCCTGGGCATGGCTGACCAGCAGCAAGTCACGGCAACAGCTAGTGCTCTCTCTATATTCAGTCCTTGATTTATTCATCTCAGCCACAGATGGGTCTTGAATATAAAAGAATTACGAAGAACAAGGCAGGAACAGGGAGTTATTTAACTAACGAAGCTGGGAAGGAAAGGGAAAGCACAGATCAGGAGAACAAAGCGAACGCAGTGGGAATAAAGGAGGAGCTGCCCAGAAGAGTTCATTCGAGAGTCCTGCACCAGGGACACAGTAAAAGCTGCGAGGCACTGGCGAAATCTGGAGCAATAAATAGCTGAACACACAGCACAACTGGGGAGACGAGAGAGCCCAACTCCTGCATTTATACTCATGGCCACAGGGGAACTGTGGCTTAGTGCCACCAGGCGGGTGGAGGCCACATCTGCCTCAGAACAAGGGGTGGCCAACAGGCAGAGTGATTGGGTAAGATGCCGTAAAACGCTAAAGCAGTCACAAAACCCAACAAAACTGGAAGAGAAGAGCTACGGAGAAGCCAACAACCAAAATATATGTATAAACACATCAATTACATAAAACGTGGGAAATGAGAGAAAGGAGAGGCAACAGAAAGGGACATGAGACACAGAGCAAGAGGTGGCCTGCAGTGCTTTATTTAGGTGATGACCAGAGGCAGCGTCCTGTTGGCATCTGGAGCTGGACATCTCTCTGCAAGACCAAACCTTCGGGGTTTCACATGGAAACTGGTGGGTAGGGCTGGCTGCTCTGCTCCTGGCGGGAGGTCAGACTGGATGGGGGGGTCGGAGAGCTGCTGCTGGTCTCCCGAAGCCGGCCGGCACGGTGGATGCAGCTCCCCATGGCACTGCAGGATGCAGCTACGCGCCTTTTATCATCGGAGTCAGATTGTTCCTCCGCGGGGCGCAGGAAAGCTCCGCTCTCCAGCTTCGCAACGAGCCACTTCCTTTCTTTTCTTTTTTTAGGATCAGAATTTCTTTTCTCTTCCTCCTCCACCTCAAAAAAGCGGATATTTAATAATTTGGATCGGA